GGCGGCGGGAGGGGCGGGATTCCCGCGCGTCACCGGGAAACCCCCCGGGCGCCGCCGCCTCTTTAGGAGCCCGGTCCCCAGCGCCGCCTGTAGCGGCGCCGGCAGCAGCGGGCGGGACTGCGCAGCACCGGGTACCGATCGGCCCACGGCAGCGCACAGACCCGCTGCAGCGCCCAGCACAGCACCGCGTACCGAACCGGGAGCCGCGCCGGGCACAGAACCCAGCGGGTACAACGTCCAACATAGTACCGGGTACAGAACCTTGAACAGCACAGAATACAGAACCGCGTACGCCAGCCTTTGTAGAACGGGGCACAGCTCTGTGCCCAGCATCGCGCACAGCACCAACCACAGCCCTGGTATCGCGCAGCACCGAGCCGGGCCGAGCCGCSTGCAGTACCGCATAGCGCATCGTACTGCGCCGCGCAAGGCGGCACCGARCCGCGCAGCGCCCCGCAGCGCCGCGATGCTGCCCCGCAGGACCTGGCTCAAGACGGCGGCCGACACCGCTCCTGCAGGTACCGGCGCGCGCAGCGGGAACGGGAGTGCCGGGAAGCGGGAGCGAGGCGGGGCTCCGCTGCGKCCGCGCTCCAGCACCGCGGTCGTGACCAGCGGCCGAATGTGGCGAGCGCAGGGGAACGGAGGGGATCGGGAGAAAGTAGCTAAGATCGGGGTGAAATTGTGAGGAAGCAGATCTGAAAAAAGATCAAAGAAATTAAAATTAAAAAAAAAAAAGAGAGAGAGAGAGGGAGAGAGAGAAAATCTAAATCACAGAATCACAGAATATTTAAGGTTGGAAGGGACCTCTAGATATCATCTAGTCCAACCTTCCTGCTCAAGCAGGCACAGCTAGAGCATGTGGCACAGGGTGGCATCCAGGTGGGTTTTGAAGACCTCCAGAGTAGGAGACTCCACAACCTCCCTGGGCAGCCTGTTCCACTGCTAGAATAGATTTATATTTCTAGTAATAAAAGTTCTCGGCTCCTGTAAAAACTTCAAAACATAAATGATCTCCCCTAGAAATAAAAAAAAATGCTGTAAAGGTATCATCCTTCAAAAAGTGTCCTATAGAGAGAGAACTCAAGAAGAGCAACAGCAGCGCAGAGAGACGCTCGCTGCAATGCCCGGTGCGTGCAGAAACCTGCACCCGGAGCCGTCTCCTCCGGAGGCAGCCGAAGAGGCGGGGGGGGCGCGGCGGGGGCGCGGGGGTGTCGCGGGTGGCCCCGCTGCTGACCCCGTGTCGCCGCGCTCTGCAGAGCAGGAAGCGGTGGCCGAGTGCGCGGAGCAGCTGCGCCGCATCGGCGACATGTGGCACCGGCGGCAGCGGCTCCTCAACCTGCTCGCGAAGCTGCTGTGCCCGGAGCGCTGAGCGGCGCGCGGCGGGACACGGAGCGCGGCCCGCGCCGCGCCGCTGCCCTGCCCGCGCCTGCTGAAGGAAGGCACCCGACGGGATCCCTTTGGAGCGCCCTGCAGCTCCCGCAGCTCCGCGCGGGGCACGGGAATAGCGGGTGGAAGGCGCGAGAGCGGCGCGTGGAGCAGCTGACCTCGGGCCCGCGYCCCAGGAATCCTCCGGGAAGCAGCCGGAGGCGCCGCTGGGCACCGCGCGGGCAGCCGCCCTCCTGCGCCGAGACACCGGTTCTGCTGCCGGGGATGCCCTGCTGGCACCGCGGCACTTGTTGGACCAAAACTACTTTCTATGAAAATGCTATTGGTTGCAGAATGTTGCTTCATTGACCAAAAGTTATGAATCAGTGCATTAAACAGAATTCTAGTTTCTATTATTTATCATGTATATATAGTATCTTATGTTATATATTATATATATGTATATACATTTAAATAYATACTTTATATAAATATATAATAAATATATAACCCATTTGTATGAAGTGAGTGTTTCTAGGCAATATTGATTGGATGTTACACAGTGAGCCCAAGAAGATTGTCCCAGTGCAGACAAAATGCAGTGCAGCCCAGRGTSTGTGATGAAGGCAGCAGGAGGCTCAGCTCCAGACGGAACCTCCATAGCCCCATCATCTGCCTAATGATACATGGGGGCATTAGAGAGAACYGGTTYCTTTMAAKTTTTATGAYGTGAGCTGTCTCCTGGAGGAYGGSGTTTCACTTGMAARGGCAGCACRGGAGAGCTGTGGCAGCTGGGATGAGCAGTGCCACAGGGAACAAACCCAAAGCCCTCCTCAGTCAGACCCACTGGCTTCCCCTCGTGCCTTTGGAGGAGCTCGGCTCAGCTCGGGTCGCCCTGCACTCCGAGGGCCGCCACAGGAGAAGGGGCTCCCGCCTCCCCGCGCCAGCCGCCCTCAGCATCGCCCAGGCCCCGCGGTGCCGCAGCCAAGCCCCACGTTCCGGCTGCGCCGGCTCCAGGGATGTGGCTCGGCGGCAGCGGAGCCCTCAGACTGTCACCCGCCTCCTGGAAAGCCCGTCCAGACAGAGRCRTCGCGTCACATCCCCGAGCCTTTCCTGTCCGGCGGCTTTGGGCTCTCGACGCCGCGTCAGGTGCCGCCGCAGGCGGGTGCGTCCCAGCGCCACGAGCTGAACGGAACCGGCAGCGTGTGAGGCAGCGCTTTTCGCTCCGCTGGAAAAGCAGCAGAACCTCCTGCAGGGAGGGGCGGGAGCTGCTGTCTCGCCGTGCGCGCAGGAAACGCTGCGTGTGCGGCCCGTGCGGGGCAGGGACCGCGCTCCGGCTGCAGCCTCCGCGGCCTGGTGGCGACRGCGCCGTGTTGCCGACGGGGCCGGTGCCCACGGGCCCCAAGGCCTACGGGAGCACTGTAAGGTGGGAAGGTGGCCAATTTGTAGTTCAGGAACACGGGTTATGTCGCATTCACCTTAGATGTAAAATGCTAATCCCCACCAGTACATCTAC